GAAAAACCCGCAAAAATAGTGAAATGTGAAATTACTGCAAGTTTAAAAAAAAGAACGAGTTCTTTGGGTGAAAAAATCACTTTAACTCGATGAAAAAGTTGTTTAAAAATTTTTTTCGTATGAATTTTCTTAGTTCACATAGAAGAAAAATGTATGAAAATGAAAATTTCTTTCGGTTTTCTTTTTGTGTCAAACCAAAATTACAACCTGCATTTTTCCCGCCGATAGGAGGTTTTAATTGTGAGGTGCTCTACAAATGCGCGTCACAGTCAACTGAATTTGAATATTTCTTCTTGAAAAAATTTCTACAGACTATTCAAATATGTATGAAATTATGTATGAATGTCGTATGAATGAATTATTTGTTTCCATCCTAAAAAAATTCACGAAAAACCGTTTGTTTTAGACCTCCTAATTCAGGATATATCCCCTCAACACGTTGACTGCCAGACAAATATTCTTGAACATTTCTGCTAGGATTAAGTATCATTCAAACTATCGGAGACTACACAATCAGACATTTATCGCGGTATTTATTTTTGTAGCTTCATAAAAATTCATGTTGATTTATACTCGTTTCCTTTGATGCTCGACTATCAGAATTAATTTTTGTAGTTCTTCAGTGAAAAGCACTGCCACATGATATGCCGATCAACGTGTTAATAGAATCTTACAGAGCAAGAACAGTTGTACAAAGTTTCAAGTAACAATTCGTGAAGTTGTCAAAGTTATAGAGCTCGGAGCATAGGTTTGTTTACGCGAGACGTTTTTACTGAAAATTTCTTTTTTGTCTCGAAAGGAAGCAATTCTCGTCTTAGTATACGATCGATCGGTAAGGTTAACCTCTTGACCTACACGCTATCTCCCGATTCCTCGGGCCACACTAAACAGAAAGGTAGGAAGTCCGAACGAAGTACCACGAGTCGAACACGTGCTTATTGTTTATGAACCAAATTCCTTACCACGAGTCTCACTCGTGGTTGTAGGCCAAAGGATTAACTAAAGTTAATTAAAGTCCCTTTTACCTTGTCCTTTTCGAACAACGATCTGCACACGTTTTGGTACAGCGTGTAAGTGAAAGTTTCTCGCAGAAACATGAGTCTCCTCTCTAGAATTTTACTTCTGTTCGCGGTTTCGATGGAATTGACGTATAAATTGATGAACCACGTCAACGAGTACTGATACATCGGATCGATGTTGGGTAAATCGGTGATGGTGTAGTAAAGGGCAGAGCTGTGTTTAGCGATGGGTTTATAATTCTGTCGGAACCCTTCGATCTGCGTTTCCGTCTTCTTCGCGGCTGATTGCTTCTTCAGTATGTCTATGGACAGAATCTTGGAAGAGTCGAGAATCTCAATCGCTTCTTCGTCCTCTAAAATACTAGCACCGGACGCCGATAATGTCTTCAGGATGTTGTCCTCTACTTGCTTCAGGGCCTTTTTATTCGCTGCGCTCTGAACGATTAGGTATTCTCGCTTCTCTTGCAAATCTGGCCTTTCCTTCGCGACTACTATGCCTATGTACAAAATATGTATTGCTTAGCGATTGTATAGGATAAATTTAAGGGTGACTAAGTAATTTGTACCGTTAAGATGGGATGTTACGTTATAGTCATCGATATCAAAATTAAATTAGAGAAATGAATAGAAACAGTAGTATATAGTAACATGAAAGAAATTTTAATCAAATAAATCATAGATATTGTCGATGTCATTTAATGTACATATGTATATGTAACGAACATAATTATTTATACAGGGTATGTTCGGCTTTTCGTAGTTGCATATTACAATCAGTAATTTTCAATCTGTTTTGTTTTCTAAAAATTGAAACTAATATTAACCAT